AGAAATATGGAACAACTTAAGAATTTTAAAATTTTTTTGGTCTTTCTAATGAGCCGGAAAGAAAAGAGAAGTGCTGTAGACCAGGTCCTTGAGGAAACCGTAATGGTGTAGGGAGTAGCATATGTTTTGGGCGATTCAGGTTTTAGTGTTTCCTGAACCTTGGCCTGCTCATCTCATGGGTTATTGGGAGGGCTAAAGAGAACCAGCTATGCTACCTTGATGACAGAGAAAAAGAAAACATAAGTAGTAACAAAAATAAATAAATGTCTTCTGCCCAGATGATACATAGAACCAGGAAATAAACATGGAAAAACACATACTTGCAATTATTCAGTAGTGATGTAGCTTCACCTTTTGACTCTTGGACCCATGGGAAGGGCCCTTTTTTCCTTCCAGATGTTTTGGAGTTTGTTTCTCCATCTTGGGTGTTGCAACAAAACAAAACAAAAAACAGGGGGAGGGGACACACCCAACTGTTCTGGTTTAATACTGATAGGAGTTTTCTCCACTCCTTATTGTATGCTTCTTTATGAAGTATATGTGGGGAGGAGTCAGCTTTATGGATAACGGTGGCTATGGAAGCTCGGTGGAGGGGCCCATGTTTTCCAGGAACAAATGCCATTACAAAATGCAGAGATATTCTTGGTGAACCTGCTGTTCAGGAGGGTGAACCTGCTGTTTCTGAAGCTTTTGGCTCAGAGAGCTTCAGTCCTGCCCTGGAGAAAGGCCAGTCGGTTATAATTATCTCTGCAAGTCACTGCTGATTTGTCTCCTGCCCTCTCATGTCTTTCCCACCCTCTTTTCCATTATCCCTTCACTATTCTTCGCTTTTCCATAAGAAATTGCGAGCTGATGTTGAAAATAGCTTGGCTGATTACCTTTAAGCACAACAGGACTTGTGTTGATTTTACAAGCAATGGTGGTACAGTACATGGGGCAGTTTTGTGCTAGCCAAAGGATAATGGAGGTTATAATCTGACACACCTGTGGAGTTTACTTTGGCTTTTGATCCTGTTTGCAAAACAACAGGGCCATTCACCACATCGGTATGATAACTCAGTCCTTTGTTCTAGGCAAAACCAAACTCTGGCCGATAAAAATGCAGTGTGTGTGATGTGCCATCAAGCTGGTTTCAACTTATGGTGATCATAGTAGGGTTTCCAAGATATACATGATATTTAAGGAGAGGATGAATAAGTCAGTGACTTAAGTATCTGATGGCAGAATCAAGAGCTGGGAGTTTGATTCTCCCCTGGGCCTTCCTGCAGAAGGTTCGGCTTGTGTGGCCTTGGGCACGCTCCACAGTCCCAGGGCACCCCAAGAAAAGGGGAACAGTAGACCACTTCTGATTACACTTTACCTTGAAAACCATTAGAAGAGTTGCTATAAGTAGGAAACAACAGTACTGTATATAATTGTTATCATTGTGTTATTGTTATGTTCCATCAAGTTGCCTCCAACTTACGGTGACCCTATGAATCAGAGATCTCCGAAATCTCCTGTCCTCAACACTCCAGCTCAGCTCTTATAGACTCAAGCCTCTTATAGACTCAAGCTGAAAAGAAAGACTCAAGCCTGTGGATTCCTTTGGGAAGTCAGTCCATCCTGTCTTTGGTCTTCCTCTTCCCCTGCTGCCTTCCGCCTTTCCCATCATTTGTTTTTCCAGAGAATCTTATAAATATTTATAGTTACAAGGTTGATCTGGGCTTAAAATGGGATCGCTTGTTATAGATATTATCTGAGAATTTGAGAAGTCATGTTGAAGAAAACTGGAAAATGTTTTATGATTGAGCCCAGAGATAAACATGAGTAGAGAATATAACATAGGTTAAAGATTTTAGTACTCTTAACACAATTATGGAGTCAGGATTATATATTAAGTATTGTACTAAGGTAAACACTTCCCTGCGTGTATGTTTTGTATGTATTGTTTGTTTGTCTATTATATATTTAGGGGAAAATGTGCCCAAAGAAGAGCAGCCTCAGTTTCAACCTTTTTCCATCCAGAGATAGTTATTCTATTATTATTTTAGCAGCGCCGCCCCTCCCCAGCGAGTTTCCATGGCTGAGTGATGATTTGAATCCTGCTCTCCAGAGTCCTCTTCTCGCCCTCACTGCCCAAGTGACCCTCAATGTCAGAGGAAGCTGTTAAATGATATGCTCCTGCCCCCATCTCCCGCCCTCACCCTTCTCCCCATCGCTCCTGCCAGGCCTGGCAGGCAAGCAGGAGGCTGAAGCGGGGTGGTGGAGGAGAGGGTCCTCTGCCCGGAGATGATCAACAGTCTTATGGTGCAATAGGGCAGGAAGCGCCACACAGCCAGAGAGGGCAGCCCGGCCCTTTTGTCTTCGGGGATGAGGCAGAGGGACCCACGTGCTCGCTCGCCCCGTCTTCGCTGTTGCTTCACTGGCACAGCTGGGTTCATCCTGGTGCCGGATTCCAAGCCTCCCTTCCCTCCAGGAAAGCCAGCGGTGGGTGGGTGGTGGGTGGAATCAGGACTTCTCTGCTGCCAGGCAAATTAGGTCAGTAGGTGAGCCATCTGGGCTTGGTTATCTGGATTGCGTTGGGGAGGTAGGGTGTGTCCTATGGGTTCAACCTGTGGATGGCAAGCCAAGGGGATCCAGGTACATGGAACTGCCTATGGGGGATCCAGGTACATGGAATTGCTGAGCCATGGAAGGGTTGTCTCAGAAACCTGACCTGCCTCCGAGGATTCTTTAGAGGAGGAAGCGGAGAGGAGGAGAGCCGGGTCTCTCGCCTCCCGTCGGTTGGAGAAATGTGGGATGTGAATCTACCCATGACAGAAATAAGCCAGTAAGCAGTGCAGATCCGTTCCTTCCCTCACCTTTTGATCTCTCTTCGTAACCGGGTCTCTCTGCTCCTACTCTTGACTCTCTGGAAACACGCGTGTACTTGATATTCGTCTAATTTGTGTTCCATGCAGTGTTTCTGCCCAAAGCATCATCTGAGACAGCTAGCCACAATAATATTGGAATAAAAGGCAAGTACTTTCCAAATATGTAAACACATGGGGAAAAAAGGTGAAAAAAAGAGGAAGAAGTAAACACATGGGGGAAAAAAGGTGAAAAAAAAGGGAAGAAAATGCCCTTCATTTTAAAACCCAGCTCCATGCCAAAGGTCTTCCTAGAGAGGAAAAAGAGGTCTTTGCCTATCTGGGAGAGTTGGGGGGGGTGGGGGAGACAGGACAGGCTAGTTTCCTGTGGCAGGGAGTTCCAATGTCTAAGTCTTGGACTGTGTCCCGCAGGGTAAATTAGATCAGTCCGGGGCTCATTCAGGCAACAAAGCACAGAGTAAGCAGATAATGCCCTCTTCCTATCTCCTACTGGGGAGGGGGATTGTGGGAGTTGTACTTTTGGATACCCAGTGTGATGTAGTGGGTAGAGAGACGGACTGAGTAAACCTCCGTCTGAATCCTTCCTCAGCTATGGAAACTAATGGGAGGGGACTTACACTTAAAGAACGTGAAAAACCACTCCTTCAATATCCTACTCATTCTGAAAATTTTATTAGGACTGTTTTCATTGAATCGTAGAAAAATGAAGTTGGAAGGGTCCTTCAAGGCCATCAAGTCCAACCCCCTGCTCAAGGCAGGAATGCTGTCAAAGCAGATCTGCCAGGCGATTATCTAAGTTTTTCTTGAATGCCTCCGGTGTTGGAGCACTCACCAACTCCCGAAGTTACTGGTTCCGCTCTCATGTTGCTCTAATACTTAGCAGGTTTTTCCTGATATTCAACCGAAATCTGGCTTCCTGTAACTTGAGCCCATTGTTGCATGTCCTGCACTCTGGGATGATCGAGAACAGATCTTGCCCCTCCTCTGTAGGACGGCCTTTGAAATATTTGGAAAGACAGTTCCAGCTTGATGGTACACAGTGCTCATCTTGATGGTAGCACAATAGGTAACATTACACTATATGGGGATAGTGAGGGTATCTGCTGTTTGGTGGATGGACATTTGGCAGCTGTGGGTCTCCAGTTGCTCCACTACTGCTGCACGCCCATCTCCCCTTTCCTCCCACAGCAAAGTGTTTCTCAGAGGACAGCCTTCCTAACACAATTGATGTTGGGGTGATGTTGCCTGTTTTCGCTCCTGCCCGGCTGACCCCAGCACTGTCCCTTTGCCCTTACAGTCTGTGAATGAATTTCTGGAATCCGTCGGAGCCCCCCTGGAAATCATCGATGGCTTCATTGACAGCATTGCCGTAACCATCCCTTGGTCTGCCTTGGTGACGGAGAACTGCACGGTGGAAGTGAGCGGCCTGCAGATCACGTGCCGGCCCAAGTATCGGAGTGGTGAGTGGAAGGTGGAGGCGCTGGCACGCTGGTTTTGAGCGGGGGCGCTTGGGGTGAGTTGTTGTCAAAGAACAGCCAGGCAGAAGGGGTTCAGCTCCTGCAGGTTGGATTTTTGCTACTGCTTTGGTGAACCCTGAGAATATTATTAGCAAGCCCAGAGAACTGCCTGCACATTCACCGTAGGAGTTTGTTGGCTAAGGGAAGGGTCTGATTCTCAGATGTCAAACACTAGCCTTGGATACCAGAAGGTCCAGTTTCAGTCCCCTGGCATCTTCTGGCAGGGCTGGGAAAAAATGCCTTTGTCTAAATTCTGCAGAGCTGCTGCCAAGGCAGGGGTTCGCAGCCTTAGGTCCCCAGATGTTCTTGGTCTAAAAAACTCGCTAGAAGGCTTCACCAGGAGCTGTGCTGGCCAGGATTTCTGGGAGTTGTTGTCAAAGAACATCTGGGGACCCAAGGTTGGGAACCTCTAGTTCAGACCATTGATTCCCAAAGCTGGGTTTTGATTATAACTCGTGCTGCCTGGGTCCTCTGAATCTCAGGTCCTGGCAGTCTAAAATCTAACTGATTTAAACTCTGCTAAACCAGATGGTCAAACTGTCTTGAGTCAGCTAAAGGCAGCCTAAGAGCCTCTTAGATTTTCCCACCACCTAAACCAGGAAACAAAGCAGCCCTTCTCCTCCATGCACTTGGGGGGGCTGCCTGCCCCTGCCCCACAGATGTGATGATAGTGGTGCCGGCATCACCCTCCCTGCTGCAGGGGCGGCAGCAGCCCCATATCTCATGGCTGCTTCGGGCTCTTCCAAGATCCAGCTGTTTCCAGAGTCCTCAGAGCTGTGCTTGTGTTGGAAAAGGAGTCTTGGGCCAGCGGCAATTTCTCAGCTTGGCCTCCTCTCCCCTTTCTTGGCGTCAAGGACCCCTTGGAACCCATTGATATAGAAATAACCTGTTCTAGGGAGAGCCTTACACCGGTACGGGTCCCTCTGGGCAGCTGTGGGGTGAGGTGGGGGGGCTGAGTTGACTGCCCCCCCCATCTTCTCGTAAGACTGTGCCTTAGGCAACTTTCTCTGTTCTGATGAGAGGAGTGGCAATAGTGGTGGCGTGGCTTCTGTTGCTTTACCCCCTCCAGGAGGAGGAGCCTATTCGGCTTTGGCACCTGTCTCTGTTCCCCCCCTCGAATTAGTGACCCTTTCTCCCCTTGTGCTTCTGCAGCTGCCTCTGGCTCGGAGTCGCAGAGCTGGGCATCATGCATGACCACAAGCATGCAGCTGGCACAGGAGTGCCTGAAGGAGCAGACCGAAGAGCCGTCGGATACTCCCCAGCCCCTGGAGGGTCTTGAGATGTTTGCACAAACTATCGAAACCGGTGAGTGGCAGGGAGGGGGAAAGGGACGGAGTGGCTCCCCTTGACGCAGGCCAGGCGCTTGCCAACCCCTGCCTGGCCCTATCCTTACACAAAATAGGCTTCTGCCTGGCGTGGCCATAGCAGGCCCTCCGCTGATCATCCAGACCAAGCCTGGCCAGTCTCTAGGGATCCATTTTTTTCAAGCCCTTTAATACACGC